TAAAATATACATTAAATAATTACAAATAAAAATATATATCTAGTTAAAATTTTAAAAAAATATTTATAAATTATATATATTATATAAATTATAATTATAGAGTTAAAAAAATTATATTCAAAATTATAACTTTTAAAAAAATATAATTATAAAATTAATAAGAAAAATAACTATTTTTTTATGTTAAATAAATTTTATATATATATATATATATATATATATATATATATATAACATAAATTAAAATTACATTTATTAATTTCAAATTAATTATTATATATATATATATATATATTTATTGTATACATTAAAATAATAATTATCAACTTAAAAATAAATTATATTTAAATATATATATTTATTAATTTCAAATTAATTATTATTATATATATATATATATTTATTGTATACATTAAAATAATAATTATCAACTTAAAAATAAATTATATTTAAATATATATATATATATATATATATATATCATTCAAAATATTACAAAAACATAAGAAAAAAAATACATTTCAAAAATATAATTTTACATCAAAATATTATTTCATCTTAAATACATATAATTTTTAAGAATTTTATTATCCTCCTAATTTATTATTAATTTCTTAAAAATATATTACAATATCAAATAAATAAATAAATTAAAAAAAATTAACCATACAAATAATATAAATATAATATTTAATAATATATTATAAAAATATTATTTTACTACATTCAACCATAAATCTAAATATATTATTAATTTTAAAAATATATAAATCTTTTTAAAATTATAAATTTTAAATAAAATATTATAATATTATAATCGATTACTTTTTCAAATAATCAATTATATTTTCAAATAATTGATTATAATCGATTACTTTTTTAAATAATCGATAACTTTTTTAAATAATTAATTAGAATTAATTAGTTTTTCAAATGATTAATTATAATCGATTATTTTTTCAAATAATAGATTATAATTGATTAATTTCTCAAATATATATTAAAAATTATAAATAAAAATATATATTAAATTAAAATTTAAAAAATAATTATTTATAAATTTTATATTATAAAAAGTATAATTAAAAAATTAAAAAAATCATATTTAGAATTATAACTTTAAAAAAATTATAATTATAAAATTAATAAAAATATAACTATTTTTAATGTTAAATAAATTATATATATTATATAAATTATAATTATATATATATATATTACTTAAATTAAAAACTTTAAATTATTTATATATATTGCATAAATTAAAATAATAATTATCAACTTGAAAATAAATTATATTTAATATATATAAATATATATATATATATATATATATATATATATATATATATAAATGAAAATAAATTATATTTTGGAAATGAAAATAAATTATATATATATATTTATATTATTTAATTTATATTTAAAAAACTAATCGATTATAATCGATATAATCTGTAAGAATGAATTGTAATCGACTAATAGAAAAACTAATTGAGTAATTTTAACCGAGTAGTTGAGAATTCAATTATCCGAAAGACAAAACCTGAATGTGAATGTATATTTTTTTTTTAACCAGTTAAAATTCGATTTTCAGGCAATCAAATTCTGAATTAGTTTTTTTTTATTAAAAAAGAAAAACTAACTAATATATATATATATATATATATATATATATATATAATATTATAATGTTTTATTCAAAATTTATAGAATTAAATTATAATTTTAAAAAGATTTATATATTTCTTAAATTAATAATATATTTAGATTTATGGTTGAAAGCAATAAAATAATACTTTTAAAATATATTATTAAATATTATATTTATATTTTATTTGTATGGTTAATTTTTTTGTAATTCTTTGATTTATTTGATATTGTATTATTTTTTTAGAAATGAATAATAAATTAGGAAGATAATAAAAATCTTAAAAATTATATATATATATATATATATATATATATATATATATATATATAAAGATGAGATAATATTTTGATGTAAAATTATATTTTGAAATTTTTTTTTATGTGTTTTGTAATATTTTGAAAGATATATATGTTTTATAATATAGAAATGAAAATAAGTTATATTTTGGAATATATATATATATATATATATATATATATATTTTATTAAAATATAATTTATTTTTGAGTTGATAATTTTTATTTTAATTTATGTAAAATATATATATATATATATATATATAAATTTAATTTGAAGTTCATATATGTAATATATGAAATTTGATATGTAATTTTAATTTATGTAATATATATATATATATAATTTATATAATATATATAATTTATTTAATATTAAAAATAGTTCTACTTTTATTAATTTTATAATTATAAATTTTTTTAAGGTTATAATTTTAAACATAATTTTTTTAAACTTTATATTTATAATTTATATATTATATATAATTTATAAATATATTTTTTTAATTTTAATTTGATATATTTTTTTATTTATATTTATTTAATATATAATTAAAAAACTAATTGATTATTTAAAAATTAATTAATTATTTAAAAAAATAACCGATTCTCATTGAGTATGAAAAATTAATCGATATTAATGGATTAGTTTTTCAAATAGTTAAAATATATATATATATATATATAATATTATAATGTTTTATTTAAAATTTATAGTTTTAAATTATAGTTTTAAAAAGATTTATATATTTATTAGATTATAATTAATTGTAAATGAGTAATGAAAAACTAATCCATTAATTTTTGAAATAATCGATTAGTTTTTCAAATATACATTAAATAATATATATATATATATATATATAATATTATAATATTTTATTTATAATTTATAATTTTAATTTATAGTTTTTAAAGATTTATATATTTATTAGATTAATAATATATTTAGATTTATGGTTGAAAGTAGTAAAATAATATTTTTAAAAGATATTATTAAATATTATATTTATATTTTATTTGTATGATTAATTTTTTAAAATTTTTTGATTTATTTGATATTGTTATATTTTTTATAATTAATAATAAATTAGGAGGATAATAAAAATCTTAAAAGTTATATGTATATAAGATGAAATAATATTTTTATGTAAAATTATATTTTTGAAATGTTTTTTTTGTGTGTTTTGTAATATTTTGGAATATATATATATATATATATATATATATATATATATATATATATATATATATATATATATATATATATATATATATATATATATATATATATATATTAGAAATGAAAATAAGTTATAGATAGGAAAACTAAATATTAATATTTTTGAAATCCTTAGTACATTACATAATAGCCCATACTTCACTAGGTTTAACTACCATCAATAATGCGTGCAAACTTTAGTCCTTGTCACAAAATATATCAACTTTAATCGGAGGGTTGAAATTGAATTTGTGGAGATTAACGCACATGATTTAGATCTACATTACATGTGGTCCAACAAGCTTTTATTAAGCATACAAGCTTTTAGTCTATATATTTTAAAAGGGGAAGTTCAATAACCACACTTACAGTCATCATAATCATATACTACAATTTTTACAAGAGTGTTAGTCAAGATTGAAGAAAGAAGGTTAACAAAATGTTGTTGTGGAGACAACAAGAACACAGAGTTGCCTACACTACTTTGATGGTATGTTAGTTCTATTGTTATTATTGTTTAAGTTATTTTTTTCTCATTAAACAATGTTATTTTTTGGCTATATAGGACGCAGAACAAAGTATTGTGTTGTCGTACTGTCATTCAATGCCGGAACCACATCTTCTTCTTCTTCCTGTAATAGAAGAAGCTGGATTCGGCGGTGTTGCTAAATTAAGACATTTAAAGGTAGATCATACTTTAGTTACAACTTTGGTGGAGAGGTGGAGTCCTGAGACACATACTTTTCATCTGCCAACACGAGAATGCACAATAACATTGCAAGATGTTTCACTTCAATTAGGGCTTAGAATTGATGGTCCACCTGTGATTGGACCAACGATGTTTGATTGGGAGGACATGTGTCATACATTATTAGGTATTATCCCTACAAAGGGGGAGTCCCTGATAGGGTCTATGGTGAAGTTAAAGTGGCTTAAGGAAAATATGGTCTCATTACAAGAGGAATCAAATATATAGGAAATACATGCCCATGCAAGGGCATATATATTAGGATTGATTGGAGGGATTTTAATGCCTGATAAAACTGGTAATAAGGTACACTTAATGTACTTGAAATTTTTAAGTAATCTATACAGAACTCGATGATATAGTTGGGGTTCTGCTTGTTTAGCTGTATTGTACAGGGAGATGTGTAGAGCAACAGATCGACGTGCGAAGACCATGGGTGGATGTGCGTCGTTATTACAGTCCTGGGCATGGTTTCGTATGCCCTTTATTCCACCAATTTTACGGACTCAATTGACGTTCCCCCTTGTATGCCGATGGAGCGGGGGTCGTGTACTGAACTATCAAAATGTTCCCCACAATGATTTACTTGGCTACCGATCAAGGATAGACCACATTGAACCTAACCAGGTTCACTTCTATTTTTAACTTCACTTTTTAATGTTCATAATTTACTAAGTTTCTCACTTTAGTATTGTTGACATAGTTTATATGGGTTCCGTATGAGGGATTGGAGTCAATCATTCCTGCCGAAGCATACAGGGACCAAGCATTGTGGACCTCTTGCACAAGTTTACTTTGTTTTTCAATTGTTGAATGGCACCAGTTAGACAGGGTGAAGTTACAATTTCATCTGGTACAAGATGTTCCTGACTCACCCAACAAACTTGATGATCTACATAAAGTAGACATGAGGGGGAGACAGAGAATTGGGCTACTAGACATGCAGAATGGATAGACGTATGGAAGAACAGGTGTGATCTGACATTGATTGGATTACCACTTTTAGGGTCACTTTTCCACAATAGTGAGTATATGTCATGGTTTGTGGCAAACTCATTTTTGTATTTGTCCGTTCCACAAATGTTGCATGACCCGAGGATGCATCGGGCATCGACTTCAACACATGCAGAACCTCCTCAACATGATGATATTCAACCCAATTACAACACTCTAGAAGCAGAAGGAACTATGGATGAAAAAAGACATTCTTCCTTCTCTGATTTAGGAATGCCAAACATTTTTGGAGCGTATGCCCCAATTCCACCTTCGGCACAGGGTTTTGAAGGACCTTATCAACAATCCCCTTATTATATCCAATATCATAATGAAACAGTGTCATCCTCCGACACATATAAAGCTCATGAAGATGTAGAGCATCATGAAGCCCAACCTTTAGAGGAAGAAGCACCTAGACTGCCCCAGGGAAGGAGGAACCCAACTAGGAACAAAAGGCGACCCCGATGTGGAACTGGACACCATTATGGGGATTAAATAACAAATATTTAGTTTTAGTGTTTGAACTATTCTTATTTAGTTACCTTATGTTGGGTTTGTAATATAAACTTTGCAAATGATGAATAAAAAACCTACAAATTCAAAAAAATTTGTATCATAATAATTTACAAATACAATAAATTATTATCTTAATAACTTACACATTAAATTAAATTATTATCTTAATAACTTACACATTCAATAAATTATTACTATGCATTGACTCATTCACTCTCTCAATCAATGCTCTCACATGCACCAAGTCACTAAGACAATACCTATCAACTTTATTGGGTAGTCGTGCCAAGGGAGATATGAATTATTCCTAATACAAAAGCTGGTGACTATTATTATGCATTGACTTATTTACTCTCAATCAATGCATTCACATGCACGATGCCACTAAAAGAAGACATATCAACTTTATTTGGTAAGTGTGCCTATGAGGGAGATATGAATTATTCCTACTGCAAAAGCTGATGACTATTAACATGCATTGACTCATTAACTCTCTCAATCAATGCCCTCACATATACGTGCCATTAACACAAGACCTATCACCTCTATTTTTTTATTTTTTTTTGTATTTTGTAATATTTTGGAAGATATATATATATATATATATATATATATATATTATACTTAAAAATAATAATCTTTTTTTAAGTTGATAATTTTTATTTTAATTTATGCAAATATATATATATATATATATATATATATTGCATAAATTAAAATAAAAATTATCAATTTAAAAAAAATTATATTTATAATTATATATATATAATTAATTAATTTAAAGTTCATATATGTAATTTTAATTTATGTAATATATATATATATATATATAACTTATATAATATATATAATTTATAAATATTTATTTTATTTAATTTTAATTTAATATATTTTTTTATTTGTAATTATTTAATGTATATTTGAAAATTTAAACGATCATAATCGATTATTTGAAAAAGTAATCGGTTGTTTAGAAAACTAATCGATTATAATCCAGTAATTGAAAAACTAATCGATTAGTTTTTCAAATAATCAATTAGTTTTTCAAATATACATTAAGTAAAACAATATATATATATATATATATATATATATATATATATAATATTATAATTTTTTATTTAAAATTGATAGTTTTAAAAAGATTTATATTTTTTTAGCTTAATAATATATTTAGATTTATTGTTGAAAGTAGTAAAATAATATTTTTAAAATGACATAATAGTCATCGACTTTATGGAGGGTGCATGTGAGAGCATTGATCGAGAGAGTGACTAAGTCAACGCATGATAATAGTCATCATGTTTGGGGAGTTATGATATGACACAATACCATTATTTATAGTGTCATAATGGACAATGTATGTTTTTTTAGTTAACGGTTGCAATTGAAAACAAAAAAATTGAACGCACAGGATTCAGATCCACTACATAAGACATATTGTTCAGCCATTAATGACACGATCATGCTTTAATAAAACCATGTCAGACCTTGTGCAATGTGAATTTTAATGATGTGCATTCATCTCCACAGATTTAATTTCAACCCTCAGATTAAAGTTGGAGGACTTTGTCACATGGACTAAAGCCTTCACGCGTCATTCATGGTGGTCAGACCTCGTGCAGTGTGGATCTAAATCATATGCGTTCATCTCCACAGATTCATTGTTCACGTATGTGGAATTATCATTGTTGTTGGTCTAAGTGAACAATTGTGCTATAAATAGAGTAACTTATAGGTTGTTCGACCAATAAACTCAATGATAAGGTACTGCAACCAACAATGACATCTACAGCTTTCACAGTGTTGATGTACTTCAACGGCACCATCTTAACGGAAGAAAACTACTCTGAAACATACATTAGTTCTCAAACGGCTTGGGTGACCATAACAAACACAATGACTATGGTCGAAGTGAAGCAAACTATTCTCAACCAGTTCAACATGTCAACAGTAAACGAATATGAAGTCAACTTACAATACAGGTTACCAATTTTCATATCTGCCACCACTGTACATTATAAATCATGTAAGATATTTGTAGATGACGACGTCGAGGCATTGTTTTTAATGGCAACAGAACAAGCTACAAAAGTTCATGTTGAGATCATGGCATTTATTACAAAAATCCACCAAAGCGCAACCCCGTCTGAAGTTTATTATGATTTGGCTAATAACTTCAATCAGTCACTAAACTAATATTAATGATCATGTACCTTGATTTATGAAAAATCCATGAACCTTATGTTATCACTCTTCTTGTCATGTGTAATGAGTATTTCAATCCATCCAATATTATCATTTATGTTAAGTCGATTAATCTTATTTATGTTTATCATTGTGTAAAAAAAATTGTATTAACATGATAACGTAAAGTTATGTGTAAGTCAAATGATCACACAAGGAAATATCCAAGTCACATGATGACATAAGGTGTGGTGTGGGTCACATAATCACGTTCGTTAATGTGCGAGTCACATGATCACCTAACTTTTGGCTATAAAAGAGGGACCTTACCACAAATTTCAAACCATAGTTTTTCAAAACTTTTCTTTGCTACCACTCATCAGAATCTTATTCCTCCTCAAATGGCACCAAAGATGTTTGCATGCATCTATGATAATGGTGACATGATTCCTAACCCAAAAAATGGTGTTTTGTTTAAGTCTGACACCTATATTATGGTTCAACTTCATAGAGGTTTCACATTTTCACAATTAATAGAGATAATATTGCAACGGGCGAAGAGAGATCCAACCAATCCACCTCCTGACCTCCATTTCATATTTCCAACACAAATTTGTGGCAAACATGTAACTTATACAACAACAAATATTGAAGATGACGATGACTTGGATGGAGCCATGGACATCATAGAGGTCAACCCAACTTTAAGATCCTTGGAAATTTGCACGACTTACAACACAGGTATTTCATCTTCCCAGCCCAATAATTTTAATCATTCTCATGAACATCAACAACCCTTACAAACCCAACCCACACATCAGTCATTTGACCTTAACGCCACATATATAGGGGAATGGAAAAATGACATACAATCATACACCCAACTCTTGACCGGTCCATCGACCTCACAACTTCTCTCATCTCCTACATATGTCGACACACAACAGTTATTCTCTCTTCCTCTACAAGAAAATGAAACATTAGGCATACCTTTGTCGTCATTAGACCCATTTAGTGAGGATGAGGTTGACATCCTTAGCCAACACGCAGATGATGAAGAAGAAAACATAGATATCCCTCCTATACAACAACAACCTCATTTATCTCTTCAATACAACCCGCCCCAACACTTCCAGTCCTATGAAGAATTTTTCCAACATGTAAACCAACAATAACCTCATGCATACGACCACTTTAATATTCATCATGACACATTCGAGCATGAACCTAGTACATTAACCCAGGAAATGAGGTTCCAGACAAAGGAACAAGTCGTTGATGCTTTAAACACATTTCATATCACAAATCATTGCACATACAAAACGACACACTCTAACACAACAAGGCTGAGGGTGCAATGTGTCCACCATCAATGTCTGTGGAAGTGTCAAGTCATCCTTCGAACAAGAGATCAAGTATGGGAAATAAGAAAAATTGAAGGGTCTCACACCTGTGCCACACAACTCATTACACAAGATCATAACAGGTTGGGGTCACATATCATTTCCCAACACATTCATGAGATGGTCGAATATGACCCATCAACACCAATTGCAACAATCATTGCTTCCATCAAGACCTCACTGGGCTACACAACAACGTATAGAAAGGCTTGGTTGGCCAAGCAACAAGCAATTGAACATGTGTACGGAAATTGGGAAGAATCATTCAACAAATTGCCACGGGTACTACAAGCAATGCAAACATTTCTTCCTGGTTTCGTATACCAACTCAAAACTCAGGTCATAACTGATGGCGAGGAGGTCCTGCAAAACGAAAAATATTTCAAAAGAGTATTTTGGACCTTCAAACCATGTGTTGTTGGATTTCCCTATTGCAAACCATTAGTGCAAGTGGATGAAACATTTCTCTACAGGAGATATAGGGGCACTCTTCTAGTGGCTGTAACACAAGATGGGAGGAACAACATACTCCCTATTGGTTTTGCTATTGTTGAAGGTGAAACGGCAGAAACTTGGTTTTTTTTCCTTAAAAACCTTAGGAGACACGTTACACCTCAAGAAAACCTGTGCTTAATTTCGGATCGTCATAACTCCATCAATGCAGCATTCAATAGACCGGGAAGTGGATGGACTCAAGAAAATTGTGTGCATGTGTTTTGCATTCAACACATTGCACAAAATTTCACTCGAAGATTCAAAAATACAACTCTTAAGAAGTACCTTGTAAACATGGGTAAGTACTTAAAAGTCCAAAATTTTATTCAATTATGTGTGATCTTCCATCATTCTTCGTTATATTTAATGAATATTACTTTATAATTATATTTGCAGCATACGCAATGACTGAACCAAGATGTAACTATTACTACAATATCATAAAGGAAGAGAACCCAGAAGCAGCAACTTGGATTAACCAAATTCCAAGACATCAATGGGCACTTGCATATGATGAAGGCAGAAGATGGGGTCACCTCACAACTAATCTGGCTGAAGCTATCAACTCAGTCTTGAAGAAAACAAGAAATCTACCAATCTCCTCCATAGTATTGGCCACATATACCAGATGCAACACCTTCTTCACAAAAAGAGGAAAGCATGTAACTGCAATGATAAGTGCTGGTCATGTCTATTCTGAAAATGCCACCAAGGTCCTACAAGATGGTGATTCAAAATCAAATACCCACAGGGTGGTTGAATTTGATAGAAATACGACAAGATTCAGGGTGGAGGAAATGGTCAACCCAAGAGAAATACGTCCTCCGGGTACATTTGTTGTTAGGTTGGATGAACGATGGTGTGATTGTGGAAAGTTTCAAAAAATTCATATACCATATTCTCATGTGTTAGCAGCTTGCAAACATGCCCATCATAATTTCAACATGTACATCAGTCCCCACTATAGGTTGGATGTCGTCATGAAAGTGTATGACCATATGTTTGGGGAGTTAAGGCATGAACAATATTGGCCACCATATGAAGGTCCACAAGTTTCGCCAAATCCAACCACGAGAAGGAGTTCAAAAGGTCGGTCCAAATCAACTAGAATCAGAACTGAGATGGACATCAGGGAAGGAGGACACCCACGAAAGTGCTCATACTGTAAAACACCAAGACACACAAGAAATCATTGTCCTCACAACCCTGGCATTAGAGGATCCATATCCCATCATTAATTGTATTAAACTTTTGTATTATCTTTCATCCATTCAATAAAAGTTTTATTCACCGACATGTTATTTTTTTTCTTTTACATTTTAACTTACATGTTATGAAAATTTTAACGAGTAAGACAACTTTATTTCCGAAAATGTTACAACACACAAACATAATAATTAAGATTTTTATTATCCTCCTAATTTATTATTAATTTATAAAAAAATATTACAATATCAAATAACTCAAAGAATTAAATATATATATATATATATATATTATATAAATTATAATTATATATATATATATATATATTACATATGAACTTTAAATTAATTATATATATATATATTTCATAAATAAAAATAAAAATTATCAACTTAAAAAAATTATATTTAGAATTATAATATATATCTTCCAAAATATAACTTAATTTCATTTCTAAAATAATATATATATATATATATATATATATATATATATATATTTCAAAATATTACAAAACACAAAAAAAATATTTCAAAAATATAATTTTACATCAAAATATTATTTCATCTTATATACATATGATTTTTAAGATTTTTATTATCCTCCTATTTTATTATTAATATCTAAAAAAATATTACAATATCAAATAAAACAAACAATTAACAAAAATTAATCATACAAATCAAATATAAATATAATATTTAATAATATATTTTAAAAATATTATTTAAATACTTTTAATAATAAATTTAAATATGTTATTAATCAAAAAAATATATAAATCTTTTTAAAACTATAATTTAAACTATAAATTTTAAATAAAACATTATAATGTTATATATATATATATAAATATATTTTTTAACTATTTAAAAAACTAATCGATTATTTCAAAAAGTAATCGATTAGTTTTTTCATACTTGATGAGAACCTAGTTATTTTGTTAAATAATTGATTAATTTTTAAATAATCAATTAGTTTTTTAAA